TGGGCTCCTGGCCCGTCCGACGCCGTCGGAAGCCTTTTGGGGGGCCCCTCTGGGCCGACTTGGGGTCCTCTTGGAATGCTCCAGGGCCGTCTTGGAGGCTATCTTGGGCGTCTTACAAGCCTCCTGGGCCGTCTTGCCTCTTGGGCCGTTCTGGGGCCATCTTGGAGGCCTCTTGGGCGATCTTTGGGCGATCTTTGGGGGCTCTTGGGCCGTATTGGGCCTTCGGATGGCCGAAAAGAAGCAAATCCCCAAAACCTTCAAAAACCTTGGACAAAAAGACAAGGTTTTTGGTTTTTCTGGAGACCCTCTTGGAGGCCTCTTGGGCCGTCTTGGGCCAGCTTCGAGCCAACTTCGGCCATCTTGGTGGGCTCCTGGCCCGTCTGACGCCGTCGGAAGCCGTTTGGGGGGCCTCTCTGGGCCGACTTGGGGCCCTCTTTGTGTGCTCCAGGGCCGTCTTAGAGGCCATCTTGGGCGTCTTGGAGGCCTCTTGAGTCGTCTTTGTGCCCTCTTGGGGCCGTCTTGGGGGCCCTCTTGGGCAGTCCTGAGGCCATCTTGGAGGCCTCTTGGGCGCTGTGGGGGCGATCTTGGGGGCCTCTTGGGCCGTCTTGGGTCGTCGGAAAGCCGAAAAAGAGCAAATCCGAAAGTCCTTCAAACATTTGAGGAACATCTATGATTTTGGCATCTTTGGGCCCTCCTGGAGGACCTCTCGGAGGCCTCCTGGGCCGTCTTGGAGGCCTCTTGGGCACCTCTTGGGCCGTCTTGGGCCGTCTTGGAGGTTTCTTGGGCCGACTTGGAGGCATCTCTTCCTCTCTTGGGCGGACTTGGAGGCCATCTTGGACCATCTTGGAGGCCATCTTGGGCCATCTTGGCGGTCTTGGAGGCCATCTTGGCCGTCTTGGAGGCCTCTTGGGGCCCTCTTGGGGCCGTCTTGGGGGCCTCTTGGGCTGTCATGGGGCCATCTTGGAGGCCTCTTGGGCGATCTTGGGGGCCTCTTGGGACGTCTTGAGCAGTCGGAATGCCGAGAAGAAGCAAATCCCTACATCCTTCAAAAACCTAAGAAAATCAATGATTTTGGTCTCTTGGGGCCTTCCTGGAGGACCTCTTGGAGGCCTCTTGGGCCGTCTTGGAGGCCTCTTGGGGGCCTCTGGGGCCGTTTTGGGCCATCTTGAGGCCATCTTGGGCCGTCTTGGGTGCATCTTGGGCCGTCTTGGAGGCATCTTGGGGCCATCTGAGCCGTCTTGGAGGCCATCTTGGCTGTCTTGGAGGCATCTTGGCCGTCTTGGAGGCCATCTTGGGGCCGTCTGGGGCAGGAAAACCGTTTGCAACCACCTCTTCTGGGTGGCCGGCGGGACGCGCTGGAGCCCCAGGGGGAGTTTTTTTGTTGGAAAAGAGCCAGAACTAAAAGATAATCTGGCACGCCAGGCACCCCTTCAGACGCCTGCGGCGAATCACCGCCGCCCCTTGCGTTTTTGGAAACGCCAATGTGGCCGAACGTTGAGGCCAGACCTGCCAAGCTATCGGACCATGTGTTCCCCGAATCGGTTTGGAAAGCCTTCGGGGAACACGTGGGCATCTTGAAGGTCATCTTGGCCGTCTGGAAGCCATTTTGACCCTTTCGGGTCTTCTTGGAGGACGTCTTGGAGGGCTCTTGGGCCTTCTTGGAGGCCATCTTGAGCGTCTTGGAGACCTCTTGGGTTGTCTTGGGGACCTCTTGGGGCTGTGTCTTGGGCCTCTTGGGCGATCTTTGGGGGCACTTGGGCCGTCTCGGGCCGTCGGAAGGCAGAGACTTCCTGGAGGCCCTCTTGGAGGCCTCTTGGGCCGTCTTGGGCCATCTTAGGGCCATGCTCGGCCGTCTTTGTGGACTCCTGGTTCGTCTGACGCCGTCGTCAGCCGTTCGGGGGGCCTCTATGGGCCGACTTGGGGCCCTCTTGGAATGCTCCAGGGCCGTCTTGGAGGCCCATCTTGAGCGTCTTCAAGGCCTCCTGTGCCATCTTGGGGGCGTCTTGGGGCCGTCTTGGGGCCCTCTGGGGCCGTTCTGGGGCCATCTTGGAGGCCTCTTGGGCGATCTTTCGGCGATCTTCGTGGGCTCTTGGGCCGTCTCGTGCCGTCGGAAGGCCGAATAGAAGCAAATGTCAAAATCCGTCAAAAACTTTGGGAAAATCAATGTTTTTGGCCTCTTCTGGCCTTCCTGGAGACCCTCTTGGGGGCCTCTTGGGCCGTCTTGGGCCAGCTTCGAGCCAACTTCGGCCATCTTGGTGGTTTCCGGACACGTCTGACGCCGTCGGGAGCCGTCTTGGGGGCCTTTTTGGGCCGACTTGGGGCCCTCTTGGGGCGCTTCCGGGCCGTCTTGGAGGCCATCTTGGGCGTCCTGGAGGCCATCTTGGGCGTGTTGGAGGCCTCTTGGGCCGTCTTGGGCCCCCCTCGGGCCGTCTTGGAGGCCACTCGGGCCGTCATGGGGCCCTTTTGGGCGCTTCTTGGGCGATCTTGGGGGCCTCTTGGGCCGTCTTGGGCCGTCCGACAGCCGAAAAGGCGCAAATGTCAAAATCCTGCAAAAACATAAGGAAAATCAATGATTTTGGCCCTTTCGGGTTTTCCCGGAGGACGTCTTGGAGGGCTCTGGGGCCGTCTTGGAGGCCTCTTGCGGGCCTGCTGGGCCGTCGTAGACCATCTTGAGGCCATCTTGGGCCGTTTTGGAGGCATCTTGGGGCCATCTTAGCCGTCTTGGAGGCCATCTTGGGCCGTCTCGGAGGCATCTTGGAGGCCATCCTGGGCCATCTTGGCCGTCTTGGAGGCCATCTTGCGCCAACGGGAAGAAACAGAGGCATGACGGACTCGTTTTGAGATCCTTTCCGGGTGGCCGGCGGGACGGGCCGAAGCCCCAGGGGGAGTTCTTTTGGAAAAAGAGCCAACACCGTAATAGTCCAGCACGCCAGGCACCCCTGTGATGAATTAACAGGGGGCGGCGGATGAAGACGCCTACGACGAACCACCGCCGCCCCCTGCCTTTTTGGAAGCGCCTATGTGGCCGAACGTTGAGGCCAGACCTGCCAAGCTATCGGACCATGTGTTCCCCGAATCGGTTTGGAAAGCCTTCGGGGAACACGTGGACATCTTGAAGGTTATCTTGGCCGTCTTGGAGACCTCTTGGGCGACCTTTCGGCGATCTTTGGGGGCTCTTGGGCCGTCTCGGGCCGTCGGAAGGCCGAAAAGAAGGAAATGTCAAAATCCGTCAAAAACCTAAGGAAAATCAATGTTTTTGGCCTCTTCTGGCCTTCCTGGAGGCCCTCTTGGGGGCCTCTTGGGCCGTCTTGGGCCAGCTTCGAGCCAACTTCGGCCATCTTGGTGGGTTCCTGGCACGTCTGACGCCGTCGGGAGCCGTCTTGGGGGCCTTTCGGGGCCACCGGGGGACCCTCTTGGGGCCTTTCGGGGCCGTCTTGGAGGCCATCTTGGGCGTCTTGGAGGCCATCTTGGGCGTGTTGGAGGCCTCTTGGGCCGTCTTGGGGCCCTCTTGGGGCCATCTTGGAGGCCACTTGGACCGTCATGGGGCCCTCTTGGGGGCCTCTTGGGGGCCTCTTGGGCGATCTTGGGGGCCTCTTGGGCCGTCTTGAGCTGTCGGAATGCCGAGAAGGCGCAAATGCCAAAATCCTTCAACAACATAAGGAAAATCAGTAATTTTGGCCTCTTCGGGCCCTCTTGGAGGACCTCTTGGAGGCCTCTTGGGCCGTCTGGGAGGCCTCTGGGAGGCCTCTTGGGCCGTCTTGGGCCGTCTTGGGCCGTCTTAGACTCTCTTGGGCCGTCTTGGAGGCCGTCTTGGACCATTTTGGGCGGACTTGGAGGTCATCTCGGGCCATCTTCGCGATTTTTTGAGGATGTCCCGAGCGAAACGGCCGTTTCAGGGGGAGGATTTTTCGTGGAGTTTGTGCTCCTGGGCAGGCCTCCCGGTACCCCGGCGGGACGGGCCGAAACCCATTGGGAGAGTTCTTTTGGAAAAGGAACCAAAACCAAAACCGAGAGGGTCTAGCACGCCAGGCACCCCTGCGATGAATCGACAGGGGGCGGCGGATCTAGTGGCCTTCGGCCCATCCCGCCACCGTGGCTGGGTCGTGGTTCGTAGGCCTCTAGGATGTTCAGTGGGTTGTCGTGGGAGGCGCCTCGTGGGGGTCGTGTGGGCGCGCTTCGTACTCTTATCGTCTCCGCTTCGCCGCCGCGCGCGAGGCCGCTGGCGATCTAGTGTATACATCCCGCCACCGTGGCTGGGTCGTGGTTCGTAGGCCTCTAGGATGTTCAGTGGGTTGTCGTGGGAGGCGCCTCGTGGGGGTCGTGTGCTTCGTACTCTTATCGTCTCCGCTTGCTGTGTATACATATGTATATATATATATATATATATATATATATATATATATATATATATATATAGATATATGTGTGTGCGTGCGTGCGTGCGCGCGCGCGTGTGTGTGTGTATGTGTGTGAGAGAGTGTGTGAGTGTGACTGTGTGTGTGAGTGTGTGTGTGTGTGCGTGTGTGTGCTTCTGTGTGTGAATGTGTGTGTGTGTGCTTGTGTGCTCGTGTGTGTGTGTGTGTGCGTGTGTGCGTGTGTGTGTGTGCGTGCGTGCGTGCGTGCGTGCGTGCGTGCTTGCGTGCGTGCGTGCGTGCGTGCGCGCGTGTGTGCGCGCATGCGTGCGTGCGTGCGTGCGTGTGTGTGTGTGTGTGTGTGTTTGTGTGTGTGTGTGTGTGTGTTCCTTGCTGGCCAAGCTAGGGGTGTGCGTACACAGGTCCTGAGCACAAGATCGGCATTGCGGGTACCAAGTAGCAGGAGGAGGAAGGGGAGGAGGAGGAGGAGGAGGAGGAGGAGGAGGAGGAGGAGGAGGAGGAGGAGGAGGAGAGGAGGAGGAGGAGGAGGGAGGAGGAGGAGGAGGAGGAGGAGGAGGAGGAGGAGGAGGAGGAGGAGGAGGAGGAGGGGATCGGGGCGGTGGAGGGGTGTAGGTGGATGGCTGGCGCCCTCGGCGCACGGGAACACCCGGCGCGCGAGGCAGCCTCCCGCTCTGTAGGATCCCGCGGCCCCGGCGGCAGGCCGAGATTCGATTCCGCTGCCGCCAGCTCCCGTGTGAGGCCCCGGGCCCGCTGGCTCGGGGAGCGTCGGCTGACCTCACACCGATTCTGACCTCAGGCCTAAGATCGCTGTGCAGTGGAGACCCATGCCAAGAAACACCCTGCTTGCCTCCAGGGTGCTCTGGGTTTCTTGGGATTCGATGGCTTTGCTATGGAAAGCGTGACGTTCCCACATCAAAACTCCATGGACGTCATAGGGTCTCAGGGTTGGGTGTCTTGTGGAGGGTTTTCTTTGGACGGGCCTCCACTGCATATGTCGGCGTCGAAATCCGAACCCTGCCCTCGCCGATCAACGGTTCAGGCAACTCTGTGGGCGGAAAGGGAGGATTTGGAATCTGTCGAGCACGTGGCGGAATGCGAACCCTACCCCCGCCTTCCATCGACTCAGGAGAATTCATGGTTGGTGGGGTATGGTTCGTATATCGCGAGTCAAGACGCCTTCCTGGCTTGGCCACGGGGATTCAGTGGCGACGCTGGGCGCAGGATCGGCCGGGCCGAGATCCGTGCGGCGGTCGGCTGGCGTTCCCCCCCCCCCCGGCGGCATCCGCTTGACTGTCCCGCGCGAGGCACCGCCCCGCCCGGGGCGGCCCGCGCCGCGGGGGGAGCGGGCGCCCGGCCTCCCCCTATGGGGGCCAGGCCTCGGCCCTCGCTCTCCGCGTCGGGCGAAAGAGGGAGGGGAGAGAGGGGGGTAGTCAGGGAGAGGGGGGGAGGGGGATCGGGAGAGGGGAGAGGTGGGGATCGGGATCGGCAGCGGGCGAGGGGAGGGAGAGGGCCCAGGGGTGATGGGATGTGGCCTCCTCGTCCTCGCCCCCCATGGGGTAATTACGGCCTTCTCTTCCCGGCGGATGCTAAGTCCATACGGAGTAAGTCCATACGAAGTGCTCGGTCTTCATCTGGGCTTTCACTGTCTGGACGTAGCCTCTCCGGATAGGAGGCTAAGGCCAAACGGAGTGAGTCCATACGGAGTGCTCGGTCTTCGTTTGGGCTTGGTCTCTCCTGATCTTCCCCCACCCTCCCTCCTCCTCCCTCTCGGGTGTTGACAGAGAGGTGCACCCTGCCCGAGGAGCTCCCAGCCATCCTCTCTGCCCTGTGCCTGGCGAGGGGCGTTTGAAGGCCTCGGGGGTCTCCCTCCAAACCACAGGGCACCACAGGGCCATCTCGGGCCAAAGGCACCTCCAGAAACACCCCCCCCCTGCCCCCCCACCCCCCCTTGGCCAGGTCCAGTCAATGGCCGCGCCCGGACGGCGAGTCGGCAGAGAGTAATGTGCACGGCCATCCCTGAGAACTGTCATGAAATCTCGGTTCATCGGCCTCAGGGGAAATTTGACCCAATGGCGTGCGATTGTGAACAGATGTGCGCAGCACTCTTGGGCGCGATTAAAGGTGAACTTTGCACAATTGGCGCGAGGGTGAACAACACTTCGGTGGAACAATTGTGAGGGGCCTTCCGAAGCAGGGCGACCTTTTCACAGTGCTCGAGGTGTCCGTGTTTAATTTCCGTGATGCGAGCTTCACTCGGGGTGTGTGAGCGTCCTGCTCCGTGGAAAAAGACCTCTGCGAGATTCGCACCCCCCTGGGGAGCTGGATCGGGTCTAGGATTGGGATAAATCGCTCCAGAGCAGAGCGTTCCGAAAAGCTCTTAGAAGACCGCAGTGCCCGAAACACTCCTTCAGAACCGCTGGATCTCAGAGATTCTCGGTTCATCACGATCCGACTTCGCCCCAGTCGGACTTTGCCCCAATCCTGTCTCCGTTGTAGGACCGGGCGAGTCTTGCTGTCCCCGCGGCGCTGGCTGCCCCGTCCCGCGGCCCCGCCCCGCCCCGGTCGGCTGTTATTCGCTTTCAAGGCTGCGGGCCCCTGCGCCGCAGCGCGCGGGCGCGCTCGCAGGGCTGACCCGTCCCTCCTGGCCCAAGGAGTCTGTCTGGCGAAGTGCCCCTCCGCCTCCTTCAGCGGCACCGTAACGGGTACTCGCTATGGCCGAAAGTTGTCATTTCAGGGCCCCCTCCTGGCGTTGCAGCGTTGCCCACATCGGGGAGGGTTGGGTTCGCCAGGTCACTGGCCAAGGTGCCCGTTCGTGGAGTCCCCGTTAGAGGGGCGCTGACTCCCGCCTCTCTCCTCACGAGCCAGCAAACCACCCCAACCCGACCCGAAGGCCCCAATGTGCCCCAAGCCGAAATTCGGGTCTTCGGGTTGGGTTGGGGTGGTCTGGTACGGAGTCATCTCCCAGGTCACACGCAGGGGCGCGCAGATCATCGCGCTTGGCGCTTCGAGGTCTGGGCCACAGCGGCTACGTGCTCCCTTTTTCCGGGGGGTCGGCGCGAGGGCGCGAGGGCGCGAAGAGAATCGCCCATCGCGCACTGCGGGCAGCGAGGCACGAAATTAGTTGACCTAGCTCTCGGGCTTGGCCTCCTCCTCCACCTCGTCCTCCTCCTCCTGACCAGGTCCTCCTCCTTCCCTCCTGCTCTCTTCCTCCTCCTCCTCCTCCTCCTCCTCCTCCTCTTCCTCCTGGTTTCTGATTTTTGTCGGCTAGAGTGTTCGGAGAACGTAGCCCTCCTCCTCGTCCTCTTCCTCCTTCTCCTACCTCTCCTCCTCCTCCTCCTCTTCCTCATCCTTCTCCTCCTTCTCCGCCTCCTCCTCCTCCTCCTCTTTGTTGCGAAGACCTTACGGCTGGTGCTGTCGAAGACGATGGCGACGACGACGACGACTCGCGAGCCCTCGTGGGGGCTGGGCTAATACATGCCGGTCGTTGAAAGTTCCCCAATCAGAGCTTGCCTCTGTAGGGGTCCTAGCGGATTCATATGATTAGGTGAGGTTTGTCACCGATTTCCGCGGCCCGCCCAGGTGCCCGGGTGCCTTATAGCCCTATAGCCGTAAAGCCCTATAGCCCTATTGCCCCAAAGCCCTCTAGGCCTATAGCCCTATAGCCCTAAATCCTTATAACCCTACAGCCCCATAGCCCAATAGCCCTATAGCCCTATAGCTCAATAGCCAAAGAGTCCTATAACCCTATAGCTCAATAGCCTTATAGCCCTATCGCCCTATCGCCCTAGAGACCCATAGCCCTATAGCTCTATAGCCCTGTAGCCCTATAGCCCTGTAGCCCTATAGCCCAATAGCCCTGTAGCCCTATAGCCCAATAGCCCTATAGCCCCGTGGCCCCATAGCCCTTTAGCCCCAGAGCCCTATAGCCCCAAAGCTCAATGTTCCTATAGCCCTATAGCCCTACAGCCCTACAGCCCTGTAGCCTTATAGCCCTATAGCACTATAGCCATACAGCTCTATATGCCTATAGCCCTATAGCCCTATAGCCCCATAGCCCTATATCCCTATAGCCCTACAGCCCTTTGGTCCTATATCCCTATATCCCCAAACACATAGCCCTATGGCCCCTATAACCCTATGACCCCATAGCCTCAGAGCCCCATAGGCCTATAGCCCTATAGCCCTACAGCCCTAGAGCCCTATGGCCTTACAGCCCCATAGCTCTGTAATCCTATAGACCTACAGCCCTATGGCCCCATAGCCCTATAGTTCCATAGCCGTATAGCCTCATAACCCCATCGCCCTATAGCCCAATAGCCCCATAGCCCTATAGCCCTAAGAAGACTTTGATTGGCGTTCTTCTTTGGTATCTTTTGTAATTGGGGATGCATAAGTCCCAATCTACTTTAGGCACCTTCCTACTTCAATAGTCGATTGGTTTTCCCTCTGCCCTCGCCTTCAGGGGGCGGGCGGAAGCCCAATCTACCAGCGCCTTCCTATTTCATGGATCTGCCTATTTCTTCCGATTGACGGGTACTAGGATAAATAATTCCGGAGCGTTGCGGTACGCTCTCAGGGCGTTTCGGAGCGCGTGGAGATGGCCGCGGCGCCCGCTACACCTTCCAGAACCTTGGGATCCCAGATATTCTTGTTTTGTCCCAGTCCGGTTTTGGTCCAGTCCTAGTTTCGTCTTACTCCCTCTTCAATGTCCTGCGGGCCAGCTGATAGTTAGTGACTGCAATGCTGCAATGCTGTCTGCGCACTGGCGCAAGGCAAACGCCAGAATCAGATCATTCCCCGTGTCGCCGTCCTTGTTTGAATCTCCCAGAAACGACTGTGCCGAGCGGGAGCGAAGGGGGAAGAAGGAAGGGGGATGGAAGTGCAAGAGGAATCCTCCCCCCCGCCTTCTCCTCTCTCCTCTCACTTCTTCCTGCCCCCTCATCGCTCTTCTTGTCCTCCGCCTGCTCCTCCTTCTTCTCCTGCTCCTCCTCTTCCTCCTCCTCTTCCTCCTCCTCCTCCTCTTTATTGCGAAGGCCTTACGGCTGGTGCTGTCGACTCTGACGGGGACGACGAAGGCGACGGGGACGACGACGACGACGCTCGCAAGCCCTCATGGGGGCCCTTGTGGGCCCTGTTGGCCTCGGGACCCCTTCCGGGACCTCTCCTAGGACCCCCCCTGTGACCGCCCCCCAGCGATCCCCCCCCGAGGCCTCCCTTCCCAGGCGGGGCAGGGATCAAGGGCTTTCCTTTCGACTTGATTGGTGTTCCTCTTCTTGCTGCTCTGTTGGGGGGCCGTCTTGGGCGTGGCGGGGGTCACGATCCCCAGGGCACTCTCCGGGACCCCCCCCCCGGACCCCCACCCCTCTACCCCCTCCGGGACCCTCCCCCCCTCCCCCGGCGCGGGGAAGGGATCAAAGGGATGAGGCTTCCCTTTGACTCGATTGCGATGTAGTTCGATTTTTGTCTGGCTGTGTCGCTTGAGAAGGAGGGCCCAGGGAAAGGGGGAGAGTGGCGACAGCGACTCAAACGGAAAAACGTCTCACACACGCCGACAGGGTCGGCGGATTCTTTCTCCTCCTCCTTCCACTTCCCCTTCATGCGTTGGAGCGCTGGGACACTTCACCGCGTAGATCTGTCAGCCCTAGCCATTCATCTCTGCTTGGCTCGCCTAACTCCTCCAGCTCTGGAGGCAGCGCTCGAGATTCGTGCGCTGCAGCCGATCTATTTTGTGGCCATGGTGACCTTCCTCTTTATCCTCCTCCTCCTCCTTCTCCTCCTCCTCCTCCTCTCCCTCCCTCCTTTCCTTCCTCCCTCCCTCCCGCCCTCCCTCCCTCCCACCTCCCACTCCTGGTCCTTCTCCTGGTTTTCGTCCCTGTCCTCAGACTGTGGGCGGGCTGCTTTCAAACCGAGGCTTGCCTCAGTGCCGCGCACAATCATTTTACTTGTCTCAACAAATTATCCCAGTGCGACCCTACCTAGGAGTTGGAGCCCCCAGGAAAGCAGCATTAGTAGTAACAGTAAAGCTAAGCTAAAGCTAAGCTAAAATAAGCTAAGCCAAGCTAAGCCAAGACGAGATAAGCTAAGCCAAGCTAAGGGGGCGCTATGCTAAGCTATGCTAGGCTATGCTATGCAACACTATGCTATGTTATGTTATGCTGTGCTATGCTATGCCATGCTATGCTATGCTACGCTAAGCTAAGCTACATTAGGCTAAGCCAAGCTAGGCTAAGCTAAGCTAAGCTAAGGTAAGCCAAGCTAAGCTAAGCTAAGCTAAGCCAAGCTAAGCTAAGCCAAGCTAAGCTAAGACGAGATAAGCTAAGCCAAGCTAAGGGGCGCGACTGGGGGAACCGCGGGGCGGGGACTGGGGGAACCGCCCGGGGCGCGTTCCACTGCCCGGCCCCTTTAAGCTAAGAGAGTAAGAACCCTCTAGGCAGAGCCTAGGTAGGGAAAAACATGTATGGGAGGTGGGTCGTTCTGAAGCTGTGTCTCTCGCCTGAACCCCTTGCGTGTTCTGTATGAACGTTCCCGACAGCTACACCGGTGGAGGGCGGTATTTTTTCAAATCTTTCTTCCCGCCGCGGAAACAAACAACTCCAAGCAGCTACAGAAAGTGAGGGCGATCCTTTTAGAAGCTCAGGCGTTATCGCCTGAGACTTCGGTCGTTCTAAGACGGGACAGCTCGAAACGCCGAACAGTTGCATGGATGAAGGGTGTCTCCTGGGTGAAAGCATACCAACGCTCTGGTGTCACGCACACTTTTCCTGAAACCTATATCAGCTAATCACATGGGTTTACGATTGCAATTTCAACTCACGGGGCGCATTCCTAACGAATGGTTACCACTATGCGTGCACATGAGACTCACATTTCCAGCTGGCGCTCCCCAGACGAAGGAGCTTTGGACGGGAGGTTTCAATTCAGCATCAATGGTGCGTTCATGGTTATTCTTCGTCTTCTTTTTTCCCTACCTAGGCTCTGCCTAGAAGGGTTCTTACTCGGAGGCTTAAAGGGCCGGGCAGTGTAACCCGCCCCGGGCGGTTCCCCCAGGATGCGCCCCGCGGTTCCCCCAGTCCCCTGGGAGCTTTAGCTTTAGCTTTAGCTTTAGCTTAGCTTTAGCTTAGCTTTAGCTTAGCTTTAGCTTAGCGTTAGCTTAGCTTTAGCTTAGCTTTAGCTTAGCTTTAGCTTAGCTTAGCTTTAGCTTAGCTTTATCTTAGCTTTAGCTTAGCTTTAGCTCAGCTTCCGCTTAGCGTTACATTAGCTTTACCTTAGCTTCAGCATAGCTTTATCTTAGCTTTCGCTTAGCGTTACCTTAGCTTTACCTTAGCTTTAGTTTAGCTTTAGCATCGCTTTAGCTTAGCTATAACTTAGCTCTATCTTAGCTTTAGCTTAGCTTTAGTCGCCTAGCTTTACCTTAGCTTGACCTTAGTTTTAGCTTAGCTTTACCTTAGCTTTACCTTAGCTTTAGCTTAGCTTTAGCTTAGCTTTGCTGTTACTACTAATGCTGCTTTCCTAGGGGTTCCAACTCCTAGGTAGGGTCGCACTGGGATAATTATTTTTCCTTCTTCTTCTTACTTCTCCTCCTCCTCCTCCTCCTCCACCTCCTCCACCTCCTCCTCCACCTCCTCCTCCTCCTCCCTTCACCTGCACCTCCACCTCCATCTCCACCTCCTCCCTCCACCTCCACCTCCACCTCCTTGTCCTCCCCTCTTTCCTCCCCATCCTTCTCGCTCCTCCCCGTTCGGGGCCGAGCGCTTCCCGTGTCCCCCTCGGTGGCTGTGATGGCCTGCCCTGGTGGTCGTGGCGGCACGCTGTACAGGAGGAGTGCCGCGGACGGCCCCTGCGATCTGCATGCGCGAGTATGGCCCGCTGCGGGCGCGAAGGGTGGCCGCGCGGTGTCCACCTCTCCAGGTGGAGCGCCAGCCTGTAGACCTGCATCGAGCCAGGCCAGGCCAACCGTCGGCCCGGGACCGGGGATGCGTGCCATAGGCCTGGGGGAGCCGGTTGCCGTCACGGTGCACCAAACGGAGATGATTGCTTGTTTGATCGGGCGCCTGCGTGGGTGGTTCACAAGTGAGGCCAGTATGGGCCAGATTATCAGAGATCCTGAGGCCACCGAGAGGGAGAGAGAGAGAGAGAGAGGCACGGACCGATCCCGGGACCAGGACGGGTCTGGCCAGGATCAGTGCAGGTGTACAGATGGCGTTCTCCTGTGTCTCCTCTCCCCCTCTCGATGAGGAGGCGGAGGAGGGTAGGGAGGCGAAGGAAGACGACGTCAAGAGCGATGATGAGAGCGCGATCGAGGACGAGAGCGAGGACGAGAGCGAGGACGAGAAGGGTCAGGAGGGGGACAGAGACGAGAATTGTGACAGGACTTGGACGGGGACCAACAGGATGACAGTATTCGTGGACAAGCATGGTAGCTGGGGATGCGATAGGATCTGCTCATGCGTAGTATTCCGATTCAAGCTGGAGTCGCCAAGAAAGTGTCAGTGTCAGCTATAGACACGGTGGGTCTAGGTAAGAAGGTGGTCGTACATCGCTATGGGCAAGGGGGGCGCGGGCGTCAGGGAAGAATACGGTCACCCGCGAGGGGCACTCGAGTTTTCAGCTCGCGATCCAGGCGGCCGTTGGAGTCAGGCCACTTTAGATTCAGGAAGTTAATGAAGTTCAGGAGCGAAAGAAGGCCGTACACGTACATGAATCCAAGCTAGTTTCGAGAGTACGCATTGCGTGACATTTGTAATATGAGGCCGTTCTTGCGAACTGGATAGCGGTGTTCGTGTACGTGGTTGGGCGAGTACGTCTTTTGTGGGCTTCCTAGAAGGTGAAGGTTTCTCCATGTCGGGAACTCTCTTGAAAGGCTTGTTCCATTGAGTCTGGAAGGACCCGTAAGCTCCGTTGAAATCCAAACTATTCTGCACCGCAGTGTGGTGTGAGGACGGGGGCGAAGAGGGCAGAAGGGTAAGCGATGCTGACATGCATTCGCTGATGCAGTCAATCATGTATGTTATTGAGCCCGCAGAGTGGGAGTCACGGCGGGCCCAGGGGAAGTTGGCACGCAGATGTTGCAACCAGTGAGTGTTCGGGGTATGGCTTCGACGAGGATCGGTATCACTCGTAGCAGGTTCTTTCCAACCATCTTGTGGTGCTGGGTCCTCGTTTTGAAGAGACGGTCCCCGCAGGCGGGGGGGGGGATTTTCGGAGGGGGGGGGGCCGGGTTCTGGAGGAGAAGGGCGGCAATTTTCCACAGTAAAGCGGCGGTGGATCACGCTCTCTCTTTTCGGAGTATGTTGAAAAACCAATGGATTTCCTAAGAATTTGTAAGAGCGCGTGCACGTTATTTCGAACATCCGCGTTGCGAAACCTTGTTCTAATATGTTTTTTGGACACTCGTTTTTGAATTGTTTCCGAAACCGAAGGCTCGCGAAGGATTTTGGCAGGCGCGCGCGACGACGCGCGCGTTTGCACTTCGTTTTGTTGAACATTATTTATTCTAAAGAATAATTATTGTTGGGCCCCCTGGTGCGCGCCCCCCCTGCGCCGCCTAGGCCGCAGCTACATTTTCATCATTTTCGTGAGGAAGCCTCAGAAAAGAGGGTGTGTACAGGATCCGGTTGTTTTGTTGTAATCCGCTTTCCCTTGCAAAAAACAATAGAAAATGACATTTCTTGTTCTAATATAATCAAATTTCAAGAATCCCTTGCAAAAAATAAGGTAAAGTGGACATTCGCGCGCGCAAGACGAAATCCTTCCAAAACCTTAGTGTTCGCAGCGATTTTAACATAAAAACATCAAAAAACCAATGGTTTTTCAACAAAAAATTGTCAAAATCTCATCCCGCGCGCTCTTGCGGATTCGTAGGAAACCCAACACTTTTTAAACATTTCTGTCAAACGGGCTTTTGCGAGCAACTTTTTCGAACTTCTGCGACAACGGTTGCGCACCTGCCAGGGCCATCATCCCTGTCAAATAATACCATGCGGGACACATTCGTTTTTTCTTCGCGCGCGCACGCCGAAATCTCCAAAAACCATTGGGCTTCTTAAGAATTTTAGCACCGCGCATCATAAAATCACACGAATCGCACCGTAGGTCCTCGAAAAACACCTGCACGACTTTTCAAAATTTCTACCCGCGCGCGCTGTCCGAATCCTAAAAAAACCAATGGTTTTCCAACATTTATGTTCTGTGGAAGGCTTAACAACTTCTGTGGGTTAACAAGGCTTAACAACTTCTGTGGGTGTACGAACGTAGGCTTAACAACTTCTGTGGGTGTGTACTCCACGCCAGTGTAGTAGCCACGGTCGTCCGCAGGCCACGAAGTGAAGTGTCCGAACGTCATAGGGCGGGAAGCTGGGTGTGGGTGGTGGCGAAGAGTCGTGTGGATATTTGGTAGAGCTTGCACTGCCCCCCCACAAAGTGGGGGTATTGGCTGGCGTCGCATGAAAACCCTGGCACTGGTGAGAACACTGAGCGTTCGGGTAAAGTGATTGTTGTTGTTGTTGTTGTTGTTGTTGTTGTTGTTGTTGTTGTTGTTGTTGTTTGTCTCTCCTATCTTGTTTGTTTGTTTTCGTTTCCTCTTCTTCTTTTTTCTTTCTTTCGCAAGGGGTTCAAGCAAACTGGTGATTTTTGATAAGCGAGTGTGCGCGCGTAAATTTTTTTGCAGAGGATGGCGGGGGGGGGATCGATGCCGGCTGGGCTTGGATGGTTTGAACTCATATTTTGGATGGACGATTGGGCAGAATCATGTGTAAATTGCAATGCGTAAAGGTGGATCGATAAAGCCGAGGGGGGGGATCTGAATTTTTGTAGAAAGGAGAATCCAGGCCGGCGACGTTGCGGCGGCGGTGGCCGCGTAGCCGCTGGGCCGACGCGCGGGCCCAGCGCGCGGGCGGCGACGAGGCGGCGACAGGGCGGCGACGGCAGCCACATAGCCGCCAGACCGAAGACGCGGCCCAGACGACGTGCGGCCACGTAGTCGCCACGCCGAAGACGCGACCTAGACGACGGGCGGCGACGAGGTGGCGACGGGGCGGCGAAGGTGACCACGTAGCCGCCGGGCCGAATTCTTTTTGTGCGTTATATATATATATATATATATATATATATATATATAATATATATATATATATATATATATATATATATATATATATATATATATAATATATATATATATATATAAACAAATCACTAGTGTTCAACAACCCCTCGCAAGAAATTATCGGGCAAAGTTCGCGCGCGCGGGCGCATGCCGAAAACATTCAACAACCTCGTAGGTGTCGCAAAGGGCTTCAACATCGAATTGCCCGATCACATCTGACAGCATCTTACATTAGTTTATCAAAAAATCTGCGCGCGCGCCCTTGTTATGTCAACCGTCGGTGTGTCGCCATGTTCGTCGGATGCGCCCAAGCGGATTTCTCGCGCGCGCATGTCGAAATCAGTCGAAAACCCTCGCGCGTGTGCTGGGGGGGGCACGATCCCTGTCACATAATGCACTGTGGGCCACTCGCGCCCGTTGGCCGCGGGCGCATGTCGAAATCAATCCACAACCTTCATCGCCGACGCGTGGACACCTTAATCGTGATCGGCGTGATCAGCATCGGTGCCTTCGTTGGTGATGCCGTCGTCATCGCCATCATCGCCACCGTCATCGCTACTATCATCATCGTGTCCGCGGTTGCCGACGTCGCCATGGTACCGCGCCCGCCCGAGTCACCGACTCGCACTGAAGTGCCCGCGCGTCAGCGCGGCCTGCGCGACCAGTTGGGGAATCCCCAGTGGTCAGCGCCACCGCGGTCCCGTCGGTCGCACCAAACTGGGTGACCGCTCGGTGCGCGAGCCTGCGTGCACTATCGCGGCCGCAGCGATGCGCCAGCTAGCGCCAAGCAGTCATCGCAATCGTCGCGCCGCGTAGGTTTTGCAAACCATTGTGCGGGTGTGTGGATGGGATGATTGCGCGAGCAGTGGCGTTGACAACCTCAAACTCGGCAGGGCGAGTTGCACCATATACATTCTCCTTTCTAAAAACAGAATAGACTCACCCCCCCCCCGGCGTTATCGGTCCCCCTTTCGGGTATGTAAATCATGAATGATTCTGACCACATGTCCATCCTAAATATAAAATCGCAATGTCAAGTGCCAACCTGGTGCCCCCCCCCCCTCTGAGGGTCCCTTGTTTAAAAAACACTATGCGGTGACATTTTTTGTTCTAACATAGCACTTTTTCGCGCATCCCTTGGAACAAATTGGACGACATGCACGCGCGCGCGTCGTCGCGCGCGCATGCCGAAATCCTTCAAAACCTTCGGTGCCGGAAAGATTTCGCAATCGAGTTTCCAAAATACATACAAACACACACGATTTCGCAACACCGATTTGCTAAAAAAACTTCCGCTCGAGCTCATGCGAAATCTTAAGAAAACCATGTTTTTTTTTGAAACTCGCAAAATGCTACCAAACGGGCGTCGCGCGCGCATGTCGAGATCTGTCGAACGCCCTTGCGCGTGGGCCGTCGCGAGAATCCTTTGCAAATAATGGGACGACGTGCAGACGCGCGCGTCGTCGCGGGCGTATGCCGAAAACCTTCAAAACCCATCGATTTCGGAAGGATTTCAAAATCGTGTGTCCAAGCAACCTACAAAAACCCAAGGTTTCGCAACACGGATTTTCGACAAAAGCGTGCGCGCGCGCTCTTGCGTCGTCGTCGTCGTCGTCGTCGTCGTCGTCGTCGTCGTCGCCGTCCTCCCTCCTCCCGCGTCGTCGTCGTCGTCGCCTACGTCGTCCTCTGTCTTTCCTTGTGTTCGTCGTCGTCGTCCTCTTTGGCGTCGTGGTCGTTTCCGTCGTCGTTGTCGCCGTGGTCGTCCGTCCTCCTCCTCCCCTCGTCGTCGTCGTCGTCCGTCGTCGGCGTCTCGTCGTCGTCCCTCCTATTTCGTCGCCGTCGTCGTCGTCGTCGTCGTCGTTGTCGTCGTCGTCTTCCCTCCTCCCTCGT